GGTTGTCGAGTTCATGGAACTCAAATCAGACACTCGACGGCACGAACACCGCTCACTACTTACCTTCCATGGCTGTTCGGCTATTCGAACGGGAGTCGAACGGCGTTTGGTAAGAACAAACTCCCGAAGGAGAGACATAGACTAAGTGCCATACAAACTTTCTACGTTCAGTATTTTTATTGTTACTTTGAATCCCCGAAGTAGATCGACCGCACAGCTGAATTCTCTGAAACTGTTTTGGGCATGGAACCATGTGTGCGGTCGGTCAAAATGTGACTTCCATAAAATTCCTGAACCCCTGAACTGATCTGGATGATTTTTGGATATGTTGGCAACCCAGATAAGGGCTATCAGGGGATGTGACAATTGTGGGGATTTTATACTTTGGGGGTGACGGACCGCCTAGCACTCCGACCGAGTGCCTCCGCCAATTGATGCTCCTAGTGTTCACCCAGGAATTCCAGCACTCCACCAGACACCATAAGCACTGCATACCCCACTGCGCCAGGGTCTCGCCATCCTTCACCCATCCTGGACCAAAGACCGGGAGTCATACAGTGAGACACTCCCATACACAAACAATAGAATCCCTCCTCTGTGCTTGGGCGATAATTGAATCAGGAAATGTTCTAATCTAACCCAATTATCTCCAAGCACAGGAAAATATACAATTTTATGAAACCCCAAAAAGTACCTTAAAAACACATAAAACCCCATAAAATCCCCTGATAGCCCCGATCGGGGTGGACAACATATCCTAAAATCACCCAGATCGGTTCAGGGATTCAGGAATTTCCTGGGAGTCATTTTGACTGACCATGTACATGGTCCTATGCCCAAAACCGTTCCAGGGAAATCAGTGCTAATAGTCGGTCAAGTTCGGTAGTCTTTTACAGGTTTCCTTGCAGGGCCCATAGTCTGTGGCAGGAGGCTTTCAAGCAGGCCCCTCCAAGTACAAGTGGCGAGGTTACATACAGTATCTGACTCAATTATCTCCCAGGCAGAGGGAATGAGTGGGTGACGGAGCTCAAGAGCTTGGCAGGGAAGGAGACGTGGCTAGATGACGCCTACCAGGCCCTACAGTGGTATACAGTGTGGCATACCCCCTGGATGGCTGAGCACGACAGGCCCAAAGGTGATAATTACAATGGTCCTGGTCTACTATGGGATGCCATGGAGGAGGACATTGATTTTGGCAGCACGGTGGAGTCTAGATTTTGGAATATCTATGACTACAGGTAGGGCATGCATGTTTGGGATGACGCCAACGAGGTAAGACGAGACCTGACCCACCTGATAACAATGGAGTGGGAGCTGGAACAGGACTACCAATGCCTGCTCAGCTCAATTTGGCCCCAATCTACCCGGCAGGCAGACACACATCTGCCACCCTATAGCTAGGAAGACTTGGTTGAGCAACCGAAGTAGGGGACCTCATAGTCTGGTCTTGGTCCTACTCCCCAGTGGCCGAGTATGTTATTGGGAGAAGAGACGGTCGGTATCTCTCCCTAGCGGCAGTGTATCCTAAGAAGGAGTGTAGACAATCAGTCTCACTCCCCAGCAGCAATGTGCCATACAGGGAGCGGAAGGTGTCGTCCTTCCTCCCAGTGGCAGAGTATGTTATTGAGAGAAGAGACGGTCAGTCTCTCTCTCCAGCGGCAGTGTATCCTACAGGGAGTGGAGACAATCAGTCTCACTCCCCAGCAGCAGTGTGCAGTACAGGGTGCAGAGGGTGTCGTCCTTCATTCCTAGCGGCAGAGGGTATTATCGGGAGCGGAGACCATTGGTCTCTCTTATCACCGGCCGACAGAGTTATAGGGAGTGGAGATGGTCGGTCTCACTCCCCAGTGGCAGGGCGAGTTATTGGGAGGGTAGACAACCGGTCTCCCTCCCCAGCGGCAGCCAGATATACCTGAAGAGGAGTCATTCATCCCAATTACAGAGGTGGTGCCGATGCCCAATGGTGCAGATGGGACCGTGGTCTCTGTGCCAGAGCTGCAGGGATGCTGGACAGCCGTCTCAGATCCCCAACAACCTGATGTGGTCACTATGGCCAATACAGATGGCTCTTCTCCCAAACAGCCTGTTGAGCCCCTGGGGGAAGAGGATGACAACCCCCAAAGCCGCAGCAGAGTCCCCAAGAGCCCCAGAAGGAATACCAGGGGGAGGAGGTGGACGATGCCCTCTGTCCACAGCAGATCCTCAGCCGGGTATTAATTGGAGAGACGAAGTTTAATGCCAGAAATGGCGTGATAAATGGGTTTTAATTATGGGGACTTGACACAGGATAAACCATATACCTGATGAAGACACTGGAGAGTGTTGAAACGTGTTGTGCTTGCTGTTTTATGTCAAATGTGGATTCTGACATTCCAGTTACCTTAATGTAAGGTTTTTATTATTGATTTGAATAAATGTTACCTGCTTTTCCTGTCCTTTCCTATTGAGGATCAAGCTGCTACCAACCCTATTCAAGGCTGCAATGTCACACCAAAGCTGAATTAACTGAGCCATTTATAAAGACAGAAATGGATACATTGGATCATATTACCATTTTATGATATGATTGCATGGCTCTATGAGAATGTTTTGTCTGTGCGTGCAGTGACATCTTACAGACTATTGGGTATATTTACATTCACTTTTTGGACACTTATTGCAAACAGTTATGATGTTGTGAAGCTTATGAACAAGTAAACCACTCCATTTTAATATAATTGTATGCATTGTTCACTATATTTTAGCTTTGTGTTTTATGTAAGAGGTGGAATTAGGTGATTAATGTTAACGTGTTAATCGGCTGCACTTAGTCTTTAAAGCCCGGATATTGCATTGTTTGTTTTGCATGTTCTTTACATAAAGACTTAACATCATGACAATAGCAAAGGGAAATTAAACAATGGCTCCCATAGTCTTCCTTTTACCTTGTGGCAAGGTGTTGGTTGAAACACTGATAGTCCGATGAGCTGTTTCATCTCTCTTGAATGGATCGTTGAGAGTCTGTGATGACTTGTCCCTCCTTATGAGTGGTGGGTACTTCGATATAAATTGTTCCTGCCAGGAGATGCACAGTTATTCAGGGTTTATAGTGTCCATGCATTGCAATTGTGTCATCAAGTGACTTCTTAAAGGAACACCACAGACCCCTAAAGCACTTTATCTCTCTGAAATGTTTTATGTGTGAAGGGTGTGTCCTATTTTTTATTTTACAAACAGTGCAGATTTCAATAGAAAGTGTATCATTTAAACTGTAGCTTCCTCTCCCCGTAAATGGATTCCTCTCCTGCAACTGTCATCATTTAAACAAAACAAACAAAAAATAAATTCAGTGAATATTTTTCTAGCAACCTACTTTTCTACTCTACCCTTACCTTTTGTGTCACTATAACCCCACTTACTCTAGCACAGGGGTAGGCAACCTACGGCACTAGTGCCATGCACGGCACTCGAGGTGTCTTTCCACGGCACTCAAGGCTGCTAGAGCCAAACAGGCTCTGGCCTATCAGGAGTCTCAGTGAAACTTCAGATATCTGCTAATACGAAGAGGTGGTGAAGGACAATCCTCAATTTATGCATTGCAGCACATAGAGTAAGTGATCTCAGATCAGTTCCTCCCAGTACTTGTGAAAGGGAATCCACACTGTAGTAGAGCAGCCTGCAGCTGCTGTTGCAGCTCCTATACTTGAGCTATACCTGGCCAGCCTGGTCCCCACTGGAACCCAGGGAAGCCACCCACGCTGCTAGATATACACAGAGCTGCAGAATAACCCTCCCCTCATACAAATAATACGAACAGCCCACAAACATACACACAATCCGCACAAACGTAACCCGCTAACAATCCACATACATGCACACAACCTCGCATGCAGCATCTCACATTCAATACCCCAAACAGCCCCCACACACTACCAAACACACTATGTGACATATCCACCCACACACACAATTCCACAAGCAGCCCCCATACACAGCCCACATTCATGTGTATCATACACGATACCATAAACTACTAATGAACATATACAATATAATAGCTCATATACGCACAAATACAACGATACAAAGCAAGTACAGTAAAAATAACACAAGCAGAATACGGCAGCATACACAACTCAATTTAAAAAAAATATATATAGGATCGGCACGCTACGGGACATCACAATCCTATATCGGCACAGTGCTTCTAAAAGGTTGCGTACCCTGCTCTAGCATGTAAACTGAGCAGGGCCTCAATCCCTCTCTTACTGTGTCACTTTACCCCACTCCCTCTAACATGTAAACTCACTGAGCAGGCCCTCAATCCCTCTGTTACTGTGTCACTATACCCCACTCCCTCTAACATGTAAACTCACTGAGCAGGGCCCTCAATCCCTCTGTTACTGTGTCACTATACCCCACTCCCTCTAACATGTAAACTCACTGAGCAGGCCCTCAATCCCTCTGTTACTGTGTCACTATACCCCACTCCCTCTAACATGTAAACTCACTGAGCAGGGCTCTCAATCCCTCTGTTACTGTGTCCCTATACCCCACTCCCTCTAACATGTAACCTCACTGAGCAGGCCCTCAATCCCTCTGTTACTGTGTCACTATACCCCACTCCCTCTAACAACATGTAAACTCACTGGAGTAGGCCCTCAATCCCTCTGTTACTGTGTCACTATACCCACTCCCTCTAACACATGTAAATCCTCACCTGAGAATAATCCCTCTGTTACTGTCACCATACCCCACCCTCTAAACATGTAAACCACTGAGCAGGGCCCTCAATCCCTCTGTTACTGTGTCACTATACCCCACTCCCTCTAACATGTAAACTCACTGAGCAGGCCCTCAATCCCTCTGTTACTGTGTCACTATACCCCACTCCCACCAACATGTAAACTCACTGAGCAGGGCCCTCAATCCCTCTGTTACTGTGTCACTATACCCCACTCCCTCTAACATGTAAACTCACTGAGCAGGGCCCTCAATCCCTCTGTTACTGTCACTATACGCCACTCCCTCTAACATGTAAACCCACTGAGCAGGGCCTCAATCCCTCTGTTACTGTGTCACTATACCCCACTCCCTCTAACATGTAAACTCACTGAGCAGGCCCTCAATCCTCTGTTACTGTGTCACTATACCCCACTCCCTCTAACATGTAAACTCACTGAGCAGGGCCCTCAATCCCTCTGTTACTGTCACTATACCCCACTCCCTCTAACATGTAAACTCACTGAGCAGGGCCCTCAATCCCTCTGTTACTGTCACTATACCTCACTCCCTCTAACATGTAAACTCACTGAGCAGGCCCTCAATCCCTCTGTTACTGTGTCACTATACCCACTCCCTCTAACATGTAAACTTCACTGGAGCAGGCTCAATCCCTCTGTTACTGGGTGCTCACTCATACCCCACTCCCTCTAACATGTAAACTCACTGAGCAGGGCCTCAATCCTCTGTTACTGTGTCACATACCCCACCTCCCAACATGTAAGCTCACTGAGCAGGCTCCTCAATCCTCTGTTACTGTGTCACTATACCCCACTCCCTCTAGTGCATGTGGGTGCTCACTGAGCAGGGCCCTCAATCCTCTCGCTAGTGTGCTCTTCACTATACCCTACTCCCCACATGTAAACTCACTGAGCAGGGCCTCAATCCCTCTGTTACTGTCACTATACCCCACTCCTCTAACATGTAAACTCACTGAGCAGGCCCTAAATCCCTCTGTTACTGTGCCACTATACCCCACTCCCTCTAACATGTAAACTCACTGAGCAGGCCCTCAATCCCTCTGTTACTGTGTCACTATACCCCACTCCCTCTAACATGTAAACTCACTGAGCAGGGCCCTCAATCCCTCTGTTACTGTGTCACTATACTCCACTCCCTCTAACATGTAAACTCACTGAGCAGGCCCTCAATCCCTCTGTTACTGTGTCACTATACCCCACTCCCTCTAACATGTAAGCTCACTGAACAGGGCCCTCAATCCCTCTGTTACTGTGTCACTATACCCCACTCCCTCTAGCATGTAAACTCACTGAGCAGGCCCCTCAATCCCCTGTTACTACTATACCCCACTCCTCTAACATAAACTCACCTATGTGCCCTCAATCCTCCGCTACTTCGTGTCACTATACCCCACTCCCAAATATAGCCCCACTATAGGGCTCTCAATCCTCTGTTACTGTGTCACTATACCTCACTTCTATAACATGTAAACTGACTGAGTAGTCTCAATCCCTCTGTTACTGTGTCACTATACCCCACTCCCTCTAACATGTAAACTCACTGAGCAGGCCCTCAATCCCTCTGTTACTGTGTCACTATACCCCACTCCCTCTAACATGTAAACTCACTGAGCAGGCCCTCAATCCCTCAGAACAGTGTGCACAACATGTTAGGCTTGAAGATCTTTTGTGATAAAGTGTATTGTTTGTATTGCGACATTTTCTTCTTCTTTTTGCAAACGTTTTGGTAATGCGCACTTTGTTAATGATAATGTATGAAATGTATTAAAATGTAATAGTTTATTTCAACCTGTATTATAAAAACACTGCAACCTGTGTGTAGATTACACTGTAATTCAGTGCTATAAAATGCTTTAAAACAAACAAACAAAAAAACCTGACATTTTGTAAAGAATAAGGGGAAGCTCTCCAGCCGTTTTGAAAGCACACATTACTCACAGCCTCCATTTAGGTTCAAAAGATTTTTTAAAAATCTGCAAATACGTTGTTATTATTCTGTAAGTGAACCGGAGGGATGATTGGTTGAACGTCATATTATTTGTTTTTAGTTATAAACATTAAATCAAAGTTTGGCAAAACGTTAGAACCCCAGCTGTTGCATAACTACAATACCCATGATCCTTTAGCACACATGAGGCTGGCAAAGCACCATGGTATTAATAATCACGTATCATCTGCCAAATATTGATAAAAACAGATTTGCTGCTGCTAGCTGACTAATATTGGGAAAGAATACATGTGATGTAAATGTCGTATTAAAGCATAGCAAACATCAGTAAACAGTGAGGATTGACAGGACGTCAAAGTGTATTGAAAAGGGATTTCAGATTTAAGGCCAAAGTTAGCGACATAGAAGCATGGTTGACATGGAGAATTTTTCGACTTTGGCTTCTCTGACCCTAAATTTGAATTCCGCTTTGAATTCTGTACAATTCTTTTCAAATAATTTTTATTAAAGTTTTTTTGTATAACAAATGATAATAATACAAACATTGTATTAGGGGTAGGAAAGGAGGGGTAACTTGGAAATGGAAAGGGGTATCCATCCATCAATGAAATAAACATATTAAAGTATACGGCAAAAAGAAAAATGTTTTACATCAATGCACTTTAACAATAAATATATCAAAGACCATAAATTGTTTTGATTTTTTCTTCCCATTTATCCCAGTTGTATTTTAGTATTGGGAAACCATGCATATTGGCTCTGTGTGATAGTTCATGTGCCTTATTTTCTAAAATCAAATTAAAAACTTCTCTAAGAGATGGCACATTTTGAGACTTCCAATGTCTAGGTAAACAGGATGTAGCAGCGATCAGAATGTGGCCTATGATTATTTTATCTGATCTATTAACAGACTCCGGGAGTTTTTTAAATAAGGCTAGTTCCGAGGTTAAGATGCTAATGGTTCCGTTCACTTTAATAATCAGATCGTGGATCATTTTCCAATAATTAATTAACTTGGGGCAGAACCACCAGATATGGGCCATATTTCCCACTCCCCCACAGTCTCTCCAACACCCCGGTCAGAAATTCTGTACATTTCTAACTGTATTAAATAACCCTGTCCGAGTTGTAGGTGCAATTCAACTTTGTGAATATCTGAATGGGCAAGGTTATAGGGAGATTCATCTGGTTTCAAAGAAACAACCTAACTGCAGGCAAAAATAATGCAAATTCTGTACAATTTGCTTTTTGGGAATAATCACATGGTTAAAACAAGCAAATTGTGAAAACTAAAGTTACATTTGGCTGCCGTTCGCTTGCCACTTAGCATTTAGTAAACAGGCCCCATATGACACAGCTGGTAGTTATAGGGACAGACATAAGATACAAACCATGGGCCTAGAGGTTGGTTAGACACAGCTGGTAGTTATAGGGACAGACATGAGGTACAAACTATGGGCCTAGAGGTTGGTTAGACACAGCTGGTAGTTATAGGGACAGACATAAGGTACAAACTATGGGCCTAGAGGTTGGTTAGACACAGCTGGTAGTTATAGGGACAGACATGAGGTACAAACTATGGGCCTAGAGGTTGGTTAGACACAGCTGGTAGTTATAGGGACAGACATGAGGTACAAACTATGGGCCTAGAGATTGGTTAGACACAGCTGGTAGTTATAGGGACAGACATGAGGTACAAACTATGGGCCTAGAGATTGGTTAGACACAGCTGGTAGTTATAGGGACAGACATGAGGTACAAACTATGGGCCTAGAGATTGGTTAGACACAGCTGGTAGTTGTAGGGACAGACATGAGGTACAAACTATGGGCCTAGAGGTTAGTTAGACACAGCTGGTAGTTATAGGGACAGACATGAGGTACAAACTATGGGCCTAGAGGTTGGTTAGACACAGCTGGTAGTTGTAGGGACAGACATGAGGTACAAACTATGGGCCTAGAGGTTGGTTAGACACAGCTGGTAGTTATAGGGACAGACATGAGGTACAAACTATGGGCCTAGAGGTTGGTTAGACACAGCTGGTAGTTATAGGGACATGACATAGAGGTTAACTTGGGCCTAGAGGTTGGTTAGACACAGCTGGTAGTTGTAGGACAGACATGAGGTACAAACTATGGGCCTAGATTGGAGACACAGCTGGTGTTGTAGGGCAGACATGAGGTAAAACCATGGGCCTATTGGTTAGACACAGCTGGTAGTTATAGGGACAGACATGAGGTACAAACTATGGGCCTAGAGATTGGTTAGACACAGCTGGTAGTTATAGGGACAGACATGAGGTACAAACTATGGGCCTAGAGATTGGTTAGACACAGCTGGTAGTTATAGGGACAGACATGAGGTACAAACTATGGGCCTAGAGGTTGGTTAGACACAGCTGGTAGTTATAGGGACAGACATTAGATACAAACTATGGGCCAAAGGTTGGTTAGACACAGCTGGCAGTTGTAAAATGGACATTAATAGTGAAAGTTATGGTCAAATTAGGCAAAATGGAAAAATTTGCAAAGCGAGCTATGCTTTCATTTCGACTACTTTGGGCTTGATTGTAAAATTCACATGAATTCACTTTTAATTCCAGACAATTCTAAGTTTAGTAAATTACCCTGATAGTGTTAATTTCTAAAAAAGGAAAAGATCCACCCAACTCCCATAAAATTACAGGATAATTCTAACATAGGACACCTCTCCTAGTTTGTCTTCCAGTGGGACTTCCTAAACCCTCAGTTACTCCTTCTCGCTACCTCACTGGAACATTGATAGATGTCATATAGCAGATTAATGTCTATGTTTTGTACATAACAAATTACTTACTGTTTACTCTACCTATTTACTTATTTTTGGGCATCTACTATTTTACATCAAATCTTAAATAAACAGTAACATGTAAATATTTGAATAATTGTTTTAGATGTATTAATGGAACTCATTAAACTAATTATTATATTCCACATATTTTTAAAATCTATCATTTTAGTCACACTAGAGCCACAGACGAACTTGGCATCTCCCATTCTAAAGGTAATCGAGGTCTGAGATGGCCAAAAGTCCCATGAATATACTGCAGGTGATTGCAGCCTGTATCTCACAGCCATCAAGCATCCTGTGACCAATCCATCACGGCACTGTATGAATTTGAATGAAATACATCTTATATTCACCTGCCTGCGAAGTTTGTCCAGGTGTGTGAAATCCTTTAACTTGGGCTTTTGGAGGAGAGCAGGGTTTCTGAATGCAGTTGTATAAGTGCTCACAGATGGTGTATAATTATATGGTAGGACAGTCTTCATGTTAAGTGCAGATCTTACTGGGAGCTTGGCTGAATGGTATTATAACCGCGTGCTGTGGCATTAGGCAGAGGCCCCGGTGTTTCTCCATGCAGCTCCTTTAGTGGTGTTCTAAACTGGAACTCTGCATCATGTGTGATGTCACTGTGATGGAATAGAATGGAACCAATAATAAAATAAGCCGGTGATTTACGGTAACAGCTTTACATGATTCACATTATAAATATTGGTATAAATAAACCTCCAAACATTACTGAAAAGAGGCTCTGATAAGAGAATGCTTCCGACTTGCATACAAGTTTTCTTTTGTATTGACTAACATCA